TTTCTTTGTATGTTGTGGGGTTGTAAAGATGAATAGTTGGAATAATGTTAATTTAATGCTTCTACATTTAAAAGAAATTGAAAAATGGGAGTTGAATTTATTGGGTGATGAGTGAGTACATTGCATTTCTTTGCTTATTGGTCTGATACCAATCATGCATGAATGTTCACGGTTTTCCTATGAAGCCAACAATTGGCTCCATAGTGGAGCAACTTTCTATATACAACAAGTAAACCTACCATATTCTCTTATTACTTAAATAACACTAATATAATTTTATTAATATGGTAGATTTATTTGTTGTATATAGAAAGTTGGCTCAACTGTGAAACCAACTGTTAGCTTCATATCAATACCGTGAATGTTCATACTTTCAATAATTTATCTCATCACTGCAACATACATTAAATACCATTTATTATTTTTCATGTCCTTTTCTAAATGTTGTATGCAACAAAAATAAAACATCTACTTTCTGACAAGTATTATGCCATGTGTTAATGTATTGTCTTTACATGAAACAAAATTATTAATGTAGCAACAAAGATGAATTGAGAATGTATTACTCTAAAGGTTAAGAAAACTTACAAAGCCAACACATTGATGAACTGATTATACAGTTTTAAATACCGTTTATTTTAAATAGGTGTCTTTTATTTTATTTCATTATTAAAAATAAGCATGATTGTTAAATTACTATAATTATTATTACTCTTATTTAATTTTCCTAATGAGAATTAAGATGAGATTATTATAAGGTATGAAATACAAATTTTAAAATATAAAGTTACCAAAAATTAAAAGAAGGGAGAATGAGATTTTAAGGCTATGTTTAGTTCAACTGAGGGGAGGGGAGGGGAGGGATTTTAATGGAAGGAAGGGGAGGGGAGGGGAGGTGATGTAAACAAAAAAAAAATTGAACCAAACAAGGGAAAATTATAAAATTCCCTCCCCTCCCCTCACTTTCCCCCGAACCAAACACTGTGTAAGGGAAGAATCAGTCTTCCCTCATTCTTCCGCCTGTTACCTCACCCATCCGGATATCTTGCTTCAGTTACGCAAATCAAATCTGACCATCTCATCCTCCATCTTTAAACCATCAAGAAAACTAAAGGCTATCACTCCCCCCTTCCATATTCTCGAACATTTTTTTTTTCCCCTCTCCAAGCACAAAATTCTTTCCAGCGACCGAGCAGCCTTAAGACCAGTTTCTCTTCAACCCACGAGCAGCCCTAAGTCAAGACTCCCTTCAGTCCAAAAACATTCCACCAGGCGAACCTCTCTTTTTTCCAGGAAGACCCACGTGTTGTTCGCGGGTGATTCAAGACGGGACTCGTGTGAGGCCGCATCGTTCCCAGCGAGAGAGACCCGCGTCCTGCCAGCGACTTGGGATGTTCCAGGTGACCCGCTCGTACCCCAGTGCACTAGACCTAGGTCTGTTCGACCAGCAACCACCCAGGTGCGACCCGCGCACCACCAGTGCATCCCAGCAAACCCGAGACCCCAGCTCGTGGACCCTCGGCGACCCTTTTTCCATTTTCATCCTTTAGCCACATAACCGAGGGCAACACCTAAATTTCAAGCCTAATATTAATTTTCAACCAAGCCGATAACGTTTTTTCAAAACCTTTAGCCGAGCCTCGAAAATTAAATTTAATTGAATTATTTATATTATGATATGAGTCGAATGTTATATTTATGTTAAATAATTTTATCATGTAGATATCGATGGGTAGAATTCTTGAGGCGTCATTTGGCCGTTCAATTATTCATTCGTCAAGTTGAGGTGGGGATATTTATTACGTGTTTATTCTCTTTAGTAGCAAGGTATAGTGGTTTTTGATATGAAAATTTTCAGGCCTTAGAGAAAATGGTAAAGGGCCTTCGGGCAATGATAAAGGACCTTCGGGCAAATGGTAAAGGGTCTTCGAACAAATGGTAAAGGGCCTTCAGGTGAATAGTTATGCATACTGATTATTATATCTGTTATTAACTTGAATAACTGCGCAATATGTTTTCCCACTGAGTCACTCCGTACTCACCCCTTTATTTAATATTTTCAGGTTGAGCAGTTGGTGGCGGGACACGGGATAGTGTGGTGATCATTTGCAATTAAATTGGTGTTTTTCATGCTTAGTTTGTTTTGACTCATTACTTGGATTATTTTGAACTTATTATTCACCGTTGCTCGTATTCTTATGACTCTGGGATTTCGGCTAGTGTGCTGTTGGATCATAACTTTGGTTTAGTTTAGAAATCGTCATTACTAATTATCGTACTTATGTGACTTTAAAACTTAAGTTTGAACTTATTATGATTCCTTTTCGACTTTGGTTATGTTATGAAGTTTTTGAGTATGAATTGAGTGTTAGAAAATGTTCAGGTTGCTCTTTATGTTCTCGAAGGATAATTATACTAAGATGTTTATGAGTTATATTATAAAAGTGCGCAACGATGAATGTTGAAACACCTTTGTGTTTAAAATTTGAAATGTTGATTTTTGGCTCAAAGGTTGTTTAATATCCGCCAACGCCCTTTAATATGATATATTCACTTTTTGAAAATGGGGGCATTACACAACCAAAAAAATGTTTGAGCATCTGTCTTATCCTGAGTATTAAATTTAAAATTTTTTAAGGTTATGCAAAAATGCATGAACAAACTAAAATAAAAATAATTTTACCTTGCCCACATACTACCAGTACATGTGGTTAACACTAACACGGCTAGCATCACCACTCACTCGGACTCCTGGAATCAACAGAAAACTTGAAATTTCATCGAAATAATTTCTGAGCCGTTGAATCTTTTCCCGAACTTGGGCAATAGAATACTCCTTCAAGGCATAACTAAGTGTGTGATTTATAGAACGTGTAATTTCTGGCCACAAGTAATTGAACGCAACCTCGGTGTATGTTTGTCTTCTCACGACACATCTTGAAAAACACTCGTTAGTAAGCATCTTCTTCACCCTCGATCCACTTCACGGCACCAAAACGGATCGTGATCTGTTTATTGCATGAAATCCTATCCATTTTTATCTTCAACTGTGCCTAGTTTTTTATTTTAATTTTTTTAGTGTGATCAGAATATAAGAATTTTACATTTGCTAGTATTTTTTTATTTGTGTTTGGTTTTCAGAAGTGAAAGGTTAGCAATTAAATCTTACAATTCATGTGTAGTAATAATGGTGCTATATATACATCGACAACTAATGTAGGTACATGCCATTTGTCTAAATTTTTTACGTGAAAAATCAGACAATCATTGTGGTGCGTAAACTATGCGAATAATATGCGGAACATTGTCTGCGGATATGAAATTCATGCTATGGATCAGCGAAAAAAATGTGCGATTCCTAAATATGCGAACATATTACACATCATCGTTAATTATACCATGTTATAGATTTAGATATGTCAGTCGTAAATTAAGCGAATATTTGTTGCATAATCATTAATATACGACGTTTGATTTGGATTCCTGAATATGCAAAATGTTATTGCATATGTTAAATTAAGTGGTGGATTTGGATTTGTGAGACATAAACTATGCAAAAAAATATCGCACAACATAAAATATAGGACTATCGATTTGGATATGCAATTATTGAATATGCGAAACGTTATTGCATAGAGTAAATTAAGCTGTGGAATTGCATATTCGAGACGTAAACTATGCGAAAACATGTTGCATAACATAAAATATGCGACTTTGGATTTGGATATTCGATTCTTAAATACACGAAAACTTCTCGCATATGGTAAATTATGCGGTAGATTTGGATATATGAATCGTAAACTGTGCAAAAATATGTCGTATAATCTTAAAATATGTGACGTTCGATTTGGATATGCCAAAAATTCTCGCATATGTTACATTATGCGGTGGATTTGAATATTTAATTTGTGAACTATGCGAAAATAAGTCGCATAACATAAAATATGCGACGTTCGATTCGAATATGCGACAACAGAATATGCAAAAAGTTCTTGCATATAGTAAAATATGCATTGGATTTAAATATTTGAGTTGTAAACTATGCGACAACATGTCGCATAATTGTAAAATATTCACCATTCGATTTGGATACACGATTACATTATATGCGTAAGTGTTTCGGATACTTGTTAACAATGCATCCGATTTGAGGGAAATGCTACAATCCTGTTACGGAATCATTCCGTCGGGATTTATAGCCGTTAGATCATCATATAACCGTCGTGGATAGTTGATTTAACGGTTACCAATCCCGACAGAATGGTTCCGTAACAGGACTGTAGAATCTGCCCCGATTTGAATATACATGACACAAAATATGCCAAAACTTGTCGCATAATCATAAAATATGTGCCATCAATTTGGATATGCGAATGCGTTTCACGAGTATTACAGTGAAAAAGAAGTTTTAATGCATGTATATATTGAGGTGTAAAAGAAATTCTCCCTCTACAAAAACATGTACATAAATTATGTAAGTCGCAACTCACAAAAACAAAACCCAAATAACAAAAAAGGGAGAGAAGAACGAAAAGATTCTCAGCAACTCCCAAACTCCAAACGTAAAACTAACGACAGAATTGGGACAAAACCATCCATATCCTTACCTATCTGGGTCCTGAGACCTGCTGCGAGGACATGTAAGAGAAGGAATTACTCGAGGTCGTGGACCCATACACAACAAACTCATTACTCGCCTCCTCCCCTCTCGACGTCTCCGTAAATCTCCTCCCATAGAACCTCAAAAAATTAAGCGACTCCACCCTGGGCTCACTCGGCGCCATCCCCCCTTCCAACATCCCCACCACATTACTCATCGACGGCCTCAAATTCGGCTCCTCGTGAACACAGCACAGTGCCACCCGTACCACCCTCTCCACCTCCTCCACCCTCACCCTCCCCACCAGCCTCGGGTCCAACAATTCTAAGTACTGTCCCTCCTCGTGCATTTCCAAAGCAAAAAGCGGAAAATACACCGGCCGTCGATCCGCGGGCGTGTAATGTACACACGAGTTCTTCTTCCCCCTCACTATTTCGAGCAGCACCATCCCATAACTGTAAACGTCCGTTTTATCCGAGATGGCCGAGCTCGTGAGCCACTCTGGCGCCAGGTAACCGCGCGTCCCTCTCATGGTCGTGAACAGCCCAGACTGCTCGGGGCTCAGCAGCTTCGACAGCCCAAAGTCGGATATCTTCACGGCTTCGTCGTGGAGGAGGATGTTCTCGGGCTTCACGTCGCAGTGAATGATCTTGTGTTCGCAGCCCGTGTGAAGGTACGCGAGCCCTCGGGCAGTCCCGAGCGCGATCTCGTACCTCTCCCTCCACTCCAAGAACCGCTCGCTGTTTTCTCCTCCGAACAGCGTGCGGTCGAGCGAGCCGCGGTTCATGAACTCGTAAACGAGAAACCTCTGCCCGCGGTACGCGCAGAACCCTTTCAGCCTCACGAGGTTGATGTGGTGGATTTTGCCGATGACGGCAATCTCGGTGAGGAACTCCTTGTTACCGCGCGACCCCAAGCAGGTGATCTTTTTCACCGCGACTTCGGTTCCATCGCTGAGGGTTCCCTTGTAGACAGTGCCGAACCCTCCGGAACCGATCTGGTTCTTGAAGCCTTCGGTCATGGCCGCCAGCTCGTTGTAGTCGAATCGGACGGGAAGTCCGGGAATGGAGACGAAGTTGATGTCATCATCTCTGTCCGCGGACGATAAGGAGTAGGCCCGGTTAGATATTGAGTTTGGGCTCTTGGCCCACCTCGCGATTCTTCTTTTTGTTGTTCTTCTTCGTCTTAACCATATTATGAGTCCGACTAAGGCAATTAGAACAACCCCGGAAGATGGCAGCAGGACGATTGCTGTTATGGGGAAATCGGATTTTTTCCCTGAGGAGTCTTTTCCACCGGAATTTGTGTTCTCCAAGGTTTTGATAAATCCTATACGGTTTGCGTCCCGGGAGGAGGTTGACTTTATCAGAAACGAGCCGAGGTAGTCCGTGATTATGTAGCAGAAGCTGGTATTCATACTGTAGAAGAAGCCTAAACAGGAACAGTTCTTGGAGCACAAACCTTTGCATGCGGAAAGCCTCATGTTGTTCATCACGGGGTCCGTTAAATCGTTCGAGAAATAATCCAAATCCTCTCTCATCTCCAAATAATTAATCTCCTTCGTAGTGTTTGATGATGAGATGCTACTACAAGGAGCTGCGGGTAAAGCCAGAGACAGATTTGTGGGGACACAATCGCCATTAATACTCCTAGGATCAGGATGAAACCCTGGTGCACACTGACACGAACCTCCATTAGTACACACACCATAACTCCTGCACACAAACGGGATTCGGCAGTTATCAGCTGGGGCTTTGAAATATTGCTCCCTTGAGCCGTCCATAGTATCCACCTTCACGATGCCCAAAACCCCGTAACGATCCAACTTCACCATCACAAAATCCGATGAGCTCTTCAAACCCTCACTCGGGATAATCTGAAACACCACCATCCCACCATCTCCGATCAAGTACACACCTGTGAAATTTAACATCATGTATTCAACAGCAGAGTATGAGTCCCTGAAAGCCTTTGTCTCCATCGACAGCTTCCAATAGCTAATCCCATTCCACTGCAGCGTAGCGTCATTTTCTGTTAGGGAGAGTCTATAGCTACCTTCCGATAGATCCTCGTCGCTCACCGAGGACACCAGTGATTTTCCGATTGGAAGCCTCTGTCCCAACACGATCGCGTCGGTTGGATAATCGAAACTCTGCCACAAGGTGGTGTTGGCGAAATCGAGCAACACCAGATTTCCCGATTCCAGGAGCTGCAGAGAGGAGACGGAGGAGAGGTTACCAGGCGTTGACCAGGAAATTTGACCCGTATCGTTGTAGAGAGAGAGTCCGCGGCTAGACAGGCGAAGCTCGCCGGATTGCGAAATGGGGGCGTTGCGATTGGCCGACCAGACGATGGTGTTGGAGATGACGTGGACCACGGCGAAGTAGTAGGACGCCGATTCGGGCTTAGGGTTGGTTAATCGGGCTTGGAATGAGTTGTTGCGAGAAGTCAGGAACGCGCCGGGGGCGGAGCTGTCCACGAACCCGAGGTAAGAAGCCGTGAAGTTGGGGCTAATGGAAGTGACAGAGATTGGACCACAGAGGATTGGGCGGGGAAAGAGTAGCGCGGATAATAAGAAGAAGGCGGTGATGGATATCGATAATAGAAGAGGCGCGGCGGCGGATGAGGCCATTCAGACACGGCGGAGGTAGTTGTGGTGGTGGAGGCAGGGTATTGGGGGTAATTGGGGAGTGGAACTTCCGTGAAGTCTCTGTGCCGTTGAGCGTCATTATTATTGCTTTTGGGGTTATTATTAGTTGATAATTGGTTTGAGATATAAATATAATGTGCTAGTTTTATGTCTTTTTCCTGCAATCAAGGTCACTGATGTGCCTATCAGGGTTGACCAAGTGTTCCTTGTTACGAACACAAGATTAGGGGTAAGAATACAACAACAACGACAACATAGCCTTTAGTCCCAAACAAGTCGGGGTAGGCTAGAGATGAAATCCAAGGGAAACACAAAAAAGACTCGAACCAAAAGGAAGAGATCGAAAGAAAGAAAAAAAAAATAATAATAATAATAATAAAAAAATAAAATAAAATAAAATAAAATAAAATAAAATAAACGGAAGAGAGAGAGAGAGAGACAGAGAGAGAGAGAGGAGCAAAAGTCACGGTTCTGGCACGTTGATAGCGAGCCTCCAAGCGCTCCTATCCACCGCTAAATCCTTGGATATATTCCAATCTTTAAGGTCTCTCTTAACCGACTCTTCTCAAGTGAGTTTAGGCCGACCTCTACCTCTCTTAACATCCTCGACCCGCTGTAGAACTCTCCTACGCACCGGTGCATCAGGAGGCCTCCGTTGGACATGTCCGAACCACCTCAGCCGATGTTGAACCAATTTCTCCTCAATTGGAGCCACTCCGACCCTATCTCGAATATCCTCATTCCGAATTGTATCCCTTCTTGTGTGCCCGCAGAACCAACGCAACATACGCGCATCTCTGCTACACTTAGTTGTTGGACATGTTGCCTTTTTGTAAGAATGACACACTAAAAAAATTTCTCTCTATATTAGCAGACCCGCAGACTTTGAAATCATAGGTGTCAAAATATTTTACTTTGTATTTAGGTTCGGATAAAAATTCTGGAAACATAATTGATTCGAAATCAACCATAAATAATTATTTCATATTGCCTTATAAATCTATAATTTTTTTTCAAATGATAGACTTCATAGAAAAAACACACATAATTACAACCGACTTACTAGCTAAATAAGAGAGGCCTACCACTACTAGTAGCCTAGAACACAACACACAACAAAACCACAAAAAAACTGTAACACCCCGCCTTACTTAGCTTTGAAAATCAGAGTAAAATTTTTACTTTTATTTTCGAAAGGTCGTGCGAGCTGGCTTTCGAAAATACTAACTTGTTTACGGGATGCTACGAAAACTTTCTTATCTTACTCGTTAAAATATGCAACCAAATCAATCCACTGTGGAGAATGGAATCACACACGCATGTCTTACTGTCTCGCACTGTCTAGTTTAGCGAAAACTTAACTGAATAATATAAAATACACACACACATATTACATATTTACATGTTTATGAATTTTAAAACATAAGATGTGTATACAAATGTCCACTGCTCATGACCACGCTTGCCACGTCTGCTCACCCAGCACGCTGGACTCCGTTTCCTGAAATAGTAAAAACTGTGGGAGTGTGAGCACATCTACATGCTCGTGGGAAACTAGAACTGAAATAATCTCAACTGGAAGCATAAACTTAAAAGCAGCATAAACTAAATAAGTTGTACTGTACTGTAAACTTTTCTTAAACTTTAAATTTTGTCGAAAGACCCTTGCTCGGCCTTGGCCGCTCGTGTGCACACCACCAGGACACTGAGGCCGAAGCCCCAGCAGGGTACCAGGTGGATCTCGGAAGGCCCTTAGGTCGGCCTCTCACCTGGGAGAACTAACTGTCTCGAACATACCTCTGTCATGGTAAAGTAATTAGAGATGATGTGGAATCAGTACATGACCCCCACATACTGACCAATATTGAATAAGACATCATGTATAATACACTAAATCATGGCATCAATATATAAGAGCTGAACTGAAATTTGTGGTCAAAAGACTCTCGGCCCTCAGCCGCTTCTTAGCACAGGGACTGAAACTGTGGTCAAAGACCATTCGGCCTTGGCCGCTTCTGTGCACGTGAACTAAAACTGTGGTTAAAGACCCTCGACCCTCGGCCGCTTGTGTGCACACCACCCAGACACTGAGGCCGAAGCCCCAGACGGGTACCAGGTGGGTCTTGGAAGGCCCTTAGGTCGGCCTCTCACCTGGGAGAACTAATTGGACCACAAACAGAATAATTCAACCATTCGGGTAAATAACTTACTCACGTACCTTATACAGGATAACTGAAATGCGTAATATGACGCCCTGTAAAGGCTCCCACCTGATATGCTGTAAATTTATGTTGCAAGTGCTGGAATGCTGGGGTAGCTGTGGGAGGCTCGACTCTCCTTAAGCTACCAAAATTTATAAGCAAATATATCTAAGAAATTTGCTCGACTTATAAAAACGGATACTGAAACTTAGACAGTCAAGCAGACAAAGCAGATATAGCATGAAAATCACATAAGGCACATAGATGCATATGAACACTTAAAACTGGAATGGATTTTCTCGGCTCGACTGGACTGTCTTAGTGTTTCCCGGAGAAATTCTCGCTTAGGCTCGGAAACCCACTTTTTCTGAATTTTATGTACTGTCTCGCACCGGCCGTTCCTTACCGGCCATCCGACAACTTTTCCGGTGACAACCAACATATATCGATATAACATGATATAAGAGGCTCAAATATGCAAAGAAACACTAGGAGACATCGGGTTAATATGAACATGGTTCTGTAGGGCCGATATGGCACGTACGAACCCTAAGTCACCGAACCAACTCCTCAAACTTAAACATATGACTAAGGCCGAGTACTTATCAACATAAAACATGATTTTTAAGGCAAATATGATGGCATATACTTGCATGCATAATAAAAGGCCTCAGGTGAAAATAAACTCAATTTCACATGCTAAATGACCAAGGACATGAAATCCAATTATGCTCATCTTATAACATCATCATAGACATGATTTATAAGAAACATTAAGCTAGCAAACTTGGCCTAAACATGCGTGGTACGAAAAATTCGAATTTAAGCTTCATATATTCAAAAATTCGAAGCTAAGGCTTAGACATGTACACGCATGGATTCAAAGAATTTTATAAAATCGTATACTCATCATCTGAAGCTCAAATTGGTGGGATTACTAACAACTCATGCCAAAATTTCTCATGAAAATTTCACATAAAACGCACATGTAGTTAGGGAGTTCTCTAGCCACAAAGTTCGAATTGATAGACACGCGGTCTATCACATATAACTCACTCATTTCGCATGCTAAAATTATGAAATTTGGTATGCAGGCTCTTAACTCATATATAAAAATGTCCATAAAATTTTATAATTTTATCCTGATTATAACTCGAGTTATTCATGTTTGAAATCGCAACAGAATTCGCGCATATAAAGTTCGATTTGCATGTCTAACTTTAAAAATCAATAACTCGAGTTATACTATTGACTTGA